CAAGCTCTCCCACAACATAACACAACACAAACATATCAAGTATCATTCTAGCTAAAAATATTTATTTGCATAATATAACCTGGAAATTTCAGGGTTACATCTTCCTTATTGGGAGCTGAGGAGACATAGAGCAGCATCATATTGTATGTAAAATAATTATTATTTTCATTGCGGAATACCAGTTTTTTTTTTATCCATATAAATGTATTTTCATTATTACGTATTTTAATGTTCTGATATATTTCATTTCTCCATTACATATGTTTACTATATATATAAATAAATACTGGGTTGGGAGGGAGCATCAGGGTAACATTTGACATGGAACTGGACGATTGGAGTGGTATGACAACCGGAGTCTAGGAGGGAATAAACACTATCATTTTCTTTATCCTACCGATTCGATTGTGATGGTGTGAATTCTACTCCAACAGTTTCATGGAGATTGACGCGCCCTTCTTAACAAACCATCCTGTAGGAAGCTTAATAAGTATTGCGAATTGCGTTATTCGATTTGTTGGATCGTATCGTTGGAAGGAGATTCTTGAATTCCCGTGGATTTCGCGTAAGTGTCTCTGCTTACGGGTCCACCCCACCGTTTTTGGCCCTTCATACAGCGATGTTGTGAATTCAGATCGGTAGCCCAAATTGATCTTGCTATTAAGTGGAGCTGCATACAAGACAAGATCTTCGAAGGGATGGTGGCTACCTTACATACATACATATGGGTGGAAAATTTGTAGAACAAATACTTTAAAATTCTTCACTTTTTAAGATATCTTCGAGCATGAAACTAAGTGAAAATTCAATAAAATCACTTCGAATAATGAAGTAATGAAATTGGGTTGTTAGCGGAATGCTAAATAAAACAGCAAAAGGGTTTATCTTCCATTTAATTCCACTTAATTAATTTTGGTATCCATGACAGATACGTATTTCGACTACAATGTGCAGTCTTCATCAGTGTCATTCCCACTACACATTTTTCTCCTTTAGCTTACTTAAATCTTTGGTTTTTATTAGTTAGGTAGGTTCCGATTCAACACATTGTAGTTTCATTTTTATACCTATGATCTTGACTTTTTTACCTAGGGGATGAGTACTTAAGGGGGTTAGATTTTGATAAGTTCTTTAGTGGGAATGACACTGATGAAGACTGCACATTGTAGTCGAAATACGTATCTGTCATGGATACCAAAATTAATTAAGTGGAATTAAATGGAAGATAAACCCTTTTGCTGTTTTATTTTTTCACTTCGAATAGTCAACCTTTGGTTACAAAGTTGATACATGACACATTAAACTTTGCTATGAAAGTTGTTACAGCAGCTTTCGTTGTTTCAGTCTCGAGATACAAATATTGTAAGCCGTAAATTACCTTAAAAACATAAAATTAACTTGAAGCACCTCTAAATCATCACCGATTTTGCTGAAAATTTGCACAGAAGTTCAAATTAACATGACGAACAGTAATCACGGTTGACCCGTTACATTCCGAACATTTCGTTTAAAATGAACAGGTCTAATATATAGGATTCGGTTATGATTTGACAACGAAAAGTGCTAGGTTCATATTAGAAAAAAAAATCATGAAAATGTCTCACCATTGGGTAGAACCCAAAGAATATCCGTGTAAATACACAACCGCAACGTGACCAACAAGCGTGACTTATGAAATTTCATAATTCATCATAATTTCTCGATTATGTGCAGGGTGTTTGGTTTGAATCGGTAAAACATTGAGAAAACTAGAGCCAAATTAACTACAACATTTAGGACAGCAAAATAAGTCTCTGGTTAATTTTCAAGAAAATTTGCATTTCAAATGAAAATGCATTATTTTTTTTAACTATGTTTTATCAAATCTAGGCCGGTATTATTCAATAGAATTTTTATTATGTTCACTAATTACTCAGAATTTTTACTATACATAAATAACTAAAGATGATACAATGTTATTCTTTTTTTTTTAATTCAAAGGTTACAAACAGTGTTGGGAAAGTATCAAAAAATCAAATCTCCCCATCGCCCAAGATCACGCTTGATTTTCGTAGACAAAAATCAACAAGCTAACTACTGCGGTTGTTTTTGCAAGCTGTGATACCGCAACTCGGAATATCAAGCTAACAAAACTCACCAACTGCAAATCTCACCAAACTGTGGTGAGATTGAGTTTAATGATTTTTGCTTTACTCCCGAATGCAACCGAAACTTCCATAACGGCTTGCAGCAGTCTCTTCGCGTCTGCGATCGGTGAAGATTAAAAAGAGATAGCAAACTATGCTTTCTCTTTCTAAGAAAACGATGTGCAATGAAATCATTTTTGTGACTACTTGACCTTCGTGCTGCCTGATCATGGGCAACAATCGCTTCTTCTTCTAGTGTTCACTCGGCTGTCGACAAAAGCAGGCTACTCTCGATGTGTGCTACGCGATCGTCTGTTTCCTCGGCAGCAACCATTGTGTGGTCCTCCTCATTGTTCTTCATCAGCAGTTCTTTCGGTCGATGCGTCGTCGACTTTGGAAAGCAACCGTTTCGTGATGAGTGTGTGAGTGCTGACCACATTTTGCGTCCATTGCTGCAATGGACGCGCTCTGACCCTCGTTGGCGTACAACAATTTGCCATACAATGAAACTACTGGAAGCGGCTCCTGTTCTGATGGAGGAGGCTTTTTGGATAGCGGAAGATAAAGTGTTTATTGTGTTGTACCTTTTGACTATAGTTTTAAGAAGTATTGTATAGTGATCAAGAATCCTCGGCTCTGTAAAGTTAATTCGGTTGAGCCTTATCAAATAAATTATTAAACAAAAAAAAAACAAACAATCGCTTCTGGAGACATTCCGTAACGTATTTCTGAGTGTTCATCGTCTCCGTTGTGATGTACGGACTAGATGTTTTACCACACTCGCATATTGCCTGCCAAACCATAACCTTCTTACCGAATTTTTCGGTAAAAATTGCCTTCTCCGTTTCGGGGATGTCCTTGCCTTCGCTTACAGTATAGAATTGTGGTCCGGGAAGCGTTTTGTAATCTAGTTTCACGTACGTTTCGTCGTCCATTATTATACACCCAGAATTTCGACACCATAACGAATCGTAGAGTTTGCGGGCCCGTGGTTTCACGGACGCGGCCTGTTTTGGGTTCCTTTTGGGTTTTTTTCTGCTTCCGGTATGTTTTTAGCCCAAGTCTTTCTTTGGCACGCATGACGTTACTCGACGGAAGTCGCTGGTTTTCGTTTGTAGGCATCCCTGATCTTTTTATCGATATCCGGACTTACAGGACCGGATTTCCAGCCACTCTTCAGCGCATCTTCAAACGTACACTGTTCTCTATATTTTTTAATCGCAGTTCGTACCGCTCCGACGCTTACATCCTCTTCCTTGGCCAATTTTCTCAAGGAGAGTCCGCTCACAGTGCACAGACCACGCATTTTGACAGGAAACACAAAACTGAGCACTTTTTTGATGCTATGTCATTCAGAAATGAGCAAACAAAAGGACGCAGAAAAACATGTTGAAATATTTCATTATATTCAAAGTGACCGTTAAAATAAGGTGTGCTTATACTTTCTGGAACAGTCTATAGTCGACGTCCTGTCAATGTATCTTAAAAAATCAATGATGTGTTTTGAATACATTAAGTGACTCAGAGAGTTTAATTTATATTTTCAGCTTTAAAAAATTCTTTCTGTAATTTTTCCCACAAATAACCTCCGAAAATTTACAGTTGGTCGCGTTTTTAAAAATGCGTACAATTTGGTTTTTCGTTGAATATTAACAACCGGGAATTTTTAAAGATTTGAACCTGGGAAGAAAACCGAAAATGAAAATCCACTGGCCCCCCTGATACATACCTAACTCTGAAAATTAAGATTCCAGTAACAAATTAATAAATTTCTCCAAGCAGACATCGCATGAAACCTACTCACAGAAGAAAAGAAATTATCCGAACTGAAAAATCGTTTTTCCACAGTCAACAACGCAATTGATCCAAAAACGAAGCAATTCTTCCTCGGAAGAGGCAACAAAAGTGTTTTCAATAAACGGGAAATTCTCCCAAAATAAAAATCCGTAAATCAGTGAATCATCCCCCGCGCGTGTGCCGTGTGCCGCGCACGGCTGCCCAGCGAGGCAGCTTAAATCAAAACAAAAATCCAAACCGACAAGTGAGTGAAAGACATGTAACAAAACCCAGCCACGCGAAGAGGCAAAAAAAAAATACAAGTGCCGGTTCGAAGGTGGCGCCACCAGGCACCGCCGCGCCACTCTGCCATCCACCGTCGTCGCGCGCAGATTTCATTTTTTTTTCCAATAATATAATATCCAAAACAAAGAACAGATCGCGGTGTGTTTCGGTATTATTTTTCCCTTCAACATAAAAAAAAAAGTGTTAAACTTCGATCAACGCGAGACACACAGAGAACAAGAATCGGAGAAGACGAAAAAGGGTGTAAATTGGAAATAAAAATAAACATTCACACCGTCGCGTCGCCCGCGTGTTGCGTTGCGTCGCCATGACGACGGCGATCATCGGGGGACTTTCGATCAAGTAGGCCCCTTCCCCTGGACAACGGCGATGGCGACGAAGGAGACTGAGCTGATGCTCCAAATATTGTGTTGATTTGTTACAGTTTTCCAATGTTTTTTTCTTGTTTTTGACTTCTATAAATAACAACTATAAAACTCGGTGTGTACTCAGCCCGTTCGTTCTACTATCCATATCCAAATACATCGTATCACGAGAAGGAAAAATCCCGAAGAGCCGTTATTAATGAACGTTTGGGTAAATATCGTATTAATTATTGTTATTGGCTTGCTTTTTTTCCGCTTGGATTTATTTTCAGTTTGACTTTTATTGGAAATTTAAGAAATTCCGCTTCCAATTGGCAGTAGGTTTATATGACGCTCCGTAAAGATTCAATTGCGAAGATAAGTCGGACGTGCTTGGCTTCGCGGCGGTAGATCATCTAGTCACGCATTTCTCTTATCAGCTGAGCACGTTCTCCACTCACTCGACCGTCTTCAGATATTGATCGAACAGGTGCAATCCCATGTCCCGGGTGTGGGCATCGTCGTTCAAAATCCCGTTCAACAAATGGATGTATCCGGTGAACTTCCGGACCGAATCGCTTCGTCCCTTGACGATCTGCTCGTCGAAGAAGTGCGCCACGTCCGGATCGTACTGCGCCGGGTGCTGGTGGGCAACGGAACTCTTCTTGTGAATGCCGTGCGCCACCTCGGCTACCAGCTTCTCGTACTCCATGGCCATCTTGAGGGAGCTGAGCTCTTCGGCGACCCTCGGATCGCCCAGCAACCGCAGTTCACTGCTCGTCTGCTTGTAGGCCGGATTGAGCGCTGCCCGAAAGCCACGCTTGCTTTGATACTTCATCAGGGCCATCGTGTCGGCCCAGGCCTGGTCGGCAACGTTGCGGTAGAGCTTCTCGAAGCCGGGACGATCCTTGTGGTGCTGGTTGAAGGCCGTCGATAGGAACAGGAAGTCGAACGATTGATCCAGCAGCTGGGTGGTGAGATCGGTTATTTCGGATGTTACGTATTTGAAGCCGGAGAAGCGGGATGTACATTTTTCTGGAAATCGAAGTCGATGGAATGCTTAGTGGTCGAAAGATATGCCTGACAATATACTCACTGGTGTCCGCCATGCAGAACTGATCCGATTGGGCAGCATTGGCAGCCGTGGCTAGAAGCGCAGCTAGCGTGACCGTAGCAACAAAGAGCACCATTTCACTGTCACTGTCGCCGTCGTTGTTCAAACTCTATCCAGCCCGTACTAACTCGTGCAGTGAAATGAGAAACTAGGTTGAACGGACAAGTGCTTATTAATGCGGACCGAAAATTCCTGACAAAGCCTTTATCAAATCAATTGGCAATCCACGCCTCCTCCTACGGGAAGACGAAAGATGGAGTAGGGTGGTGGTTCTTATCATCAAGTCGTCATTTGAACGTGGTAGAGTGGTTCCTCCATTTATGCTGTCCTTCAAACAACCGCGCTGAATTTTTGCATGTGATCAGTGTCAACCATAAACTAGTTATCTACAGAAAGTCAGCTCAATTGGTGGAAGCACAGTCGAGAAATAGCGGTGGGTTGGCGGTACCACCCCACCGCATGAATGGAGGGATTACTGTATGAACTTCATCGCGACGACGTGAGCATGTTGATTCTCATCGAGAGATTGGATTTACAACAGGGTAGGTACTTGACTTCGGCCCACAAAAGCAAGAGCGGAACTACTGTTTGAGGGATTCTTTTTTCTTGTCATGGATGACCCGATTGGCAGTGGATGACGATATTTGAATCAACAACTTTGACTCATTGGATTTTATTTTATTTATTCTTTATGCTTGGTTTTTTTATTTGTAGTATGACTTAGATTGAATTGTATGATTCAAGTTTATTAATTACACTCTTTTTCTATCTAATTACAGGTAATTATTTCATTCGACACATTGAAGGCACTCAGTAATGGTAATGTATTTGGAAGTACAGGTCAGAGATAATGGTTCCATTCCGTTGCTGGTCAAATTTATCATAATTTATCAGGGTGGTAACTACCTGTAAAACCTGGAAATCCTGTCTTCAAGTCCCAGAGTCTTAAAAGTCCACGAGTGTGTATATTACTTTAAATTAAATTTTTAAAAATCAAGTCCTACAATTTTCAAACAAGCTTAATGTCTGGGATCTCGAAGTTTGAACTCCAGAACTATGACCAATATTCCTAGTCCATGTATGTGAATGTATTTCTACAGCCATTCCATAGCAAAACGATGTAGTGGTTCTCAGAATTTCGTAAAAATTGGTAGTTTTGTTACTTATCGCAAAATATTTGACCCATATATTTTTTTTTAATTTTATCATTAGGGTGGTCAAAAACACCGTTTTAAAAAAAAAAAAAAATTAAAAAATACTTTTTAGGAAAAATATGATATTATTTAAAAAAAAATGGATTTTGTATTGAACAACATTTGTTGTACACTGGAGTCGCTTTTAAAGCGGTTTTTTACACGGTTTTTCTTACACGGTTTTTTTTACGCGGTTTTTTTACGCAGATTTCGGAATTTACACGGTTTTTTTACGCGGATTTCGGAATTTGCACGGATTTCAGAATTTAAGCGGTTTATCGTTATATACCGCTTTTTACGCGGTTTTTTACACGGTTTTTTTACGCGGATTTCGGAATTTACGCGATTTTTTTTACACATATTCTGGAATTTACGCGGTTTTTTTACGCGGATTTAAGAATTTACGTGGTTTATCGTTATTCACCACTTTTTACGCGGTTTTTTTTTACGTGGATTTCGGAATGTACGCGGTTTTTTTGCGCGGATTCCGGAATTCACGCGGTTTTTTTTACGCGGATTTCAGAATTTACGCGGTTTATCGTTATTCACCGCTTTTTACGCGGTTTTTTACACGGTTTTTTTATGCGGTTTTTTTTACGTGGATTTCGGAATTTACGCGTTTTTTTTTACGTGGATTCCGAAATTCACGCGGTTTTTTTTACGCGGATTTCAGAATTTACGCGGTTTTTTTTACGCGGATTCCGGAATTCACCCGGTTTTTTTTCGTGGATTTCAGAATTTACGTGGTTTATCGTTATTCACCGCTTTTTACGCGGTTTTTTTACACGGTTTTTTTACGCGGATTTCGGAATTCACGCGGTTTTTTTACGCGGATTTCATAATTTACGTGGTTTATCGTTATTCACCGCTTTTTACGCGGTTTTTTTACACGGTTTTTTTACACAGATTCCGGAATTTACGCGGTTTTTTTTACGCGGATTTCGGAGTTTACGCGGCTTATCGTTATTCACCGCTTTTTACGCGGTTTTTTTACATGGTTTTTTTACACGGTTTTTTTACACGGACTTCGGAATTTACGCGGTTTTTTTCACGCGGATTTCAGAATTTACGTGGTTTATCGTTATTCACCGCTTTTTAGGCGGTTTTTTTTACACGGTTTTTTTAAGCGGATTTCGGAATTTACGCGGTTTTTTAACGCGGATTCCGGAATTCACGCGGTTTTTTACGCGGATTTCGGAATTTACGTGGTTTTTTTACGCAGATTCTGGAATTTACGCGGATTTCAGAATTTACGTGGTTTATCGTTATTCACCGCTTTTTACGCGGTTTTTTACACGTTTTTAACGCGGTTTTTTAGGCGGATTTCGGAATTTACGCGGTTTTTTTACGCGGATTCCGGAATTCACGCGGTTTTTTTTTACGCGGTACAGATCATCCGCGTAAAAAGCGACTCTAGTGTATTTGTTTTTTTTTATGGTTTTCATGGTTCGTATAAAGGGTGCAATATGTTTTTTTTTATATTTTTCCTTGAAAATTTAGGCTTTTTTACACAACATTTAAAAAATCCGCGATGTGGTTTTTTATTAGTTTTGAGTTTGATATTGATATTTTTTGAAGTTATCAAGTTTTGGGATTTTGCTCAATACTCCTATGCGACTCGACTACCATGCGTCTCCATTGATCTATTGTGACTGTAACATGGTCCCATGATCTATACATAAAAAAAACGAATACAATCCATGTTTTCAATTCAAAATCCCAAACTTTTGATTTCATATTTTTTCCTGAAAAGTATTTTTAATTTACCTTTCATTTGATATTTTGATCTTTGAAATCGGCTCAGTAGTTCAAAAGTTATAAATTTTTGATAGAAGTCATTCTTGATAAAAATCGAAAAAAAAAGATTTTTTGGCCCCTTTAACATGGAAATGGTCACTGAAGTTCTCAGAATTTTCCTGAAGTTTGTTGATCTTCTTTAAAGTTATTAGAATTTTCATGAAATTTGCTGAACTTCTCTAAAGTTCTCATAATTTTCCTGAAATTCGGTGATTTTCTCTTAACTTCACAGAATTTTCCTGAAGCTTGCTGATTTTCTCTGAAGATTCCTGATCTTCTCGAAAATTTTCAGATAATTTCTGAATTTCGCTGATTTTCTCTGAAGTTCTCAGAATTTTCCTGAAGTTTGTTAATCTTCTCTAAAGTTCTTAGAATATTCATGAAATTTGCTTAACTTCTCTAAAGTTCTCAGAATTTTTCTGAAGTTTGCTGATTTTCTCTGAAGATTCCTTGGGTCTCATTGCGCATGTGGAAACAAAGCATTTTTTGCATTTGTCTTCTCTAAAAATCTCAAATAAATTTCAGAAGTTCGCTGATTTTCTCTAAAGTTCGCCGAATTTTCTCTGAAATTATCAGAATATTTTGTTGATCTTCTCTGAAGTTCTTAGAATTTTCGTGAAATTTACTGTTCGTCTCCGAAATTCTTGGAATTTTAGTGGAGTTTGCTGATCTTCTCATAAGTTCGCAGAATTTTCCGTAAGTTCAGTGATATTCGTTGATGTTGTCATAATATTCCTGAGATTGCCTGATCTTTTGTAAAGCTCTCAGAATTTTCCTGAAGTTTGCTGATTTTCTCTGAAGTTTGCTTCTGTAAAGATCTCAGAATTTTCATATAGTTTCCTGATTTTCTCATAAGATTCCTGGTCTACTCTAAAGTTCTCAGACAAATTCTGACATTTTCTTATCTTCTTTAAAGTTCTGAAAATTTTCCTGAAAAATTTCTAATCTTCTGTAAAATTCCCACAATATTCATGAAGTTTTATGATCTTCTATAAATTTCTCAGATTTTTCCTGAAGTTTGTTGATCTTCTCTAAAGTTCTCAGACAAATTATGAAATGTTCTGATCTTCTTAAAATTCTCAGAATTTTCCTAAAGTTTGCTGATTTTCTCTTAACAGGAATCATCTCAGGAAGTTCTCAGAAAATTTTCGAAGTTCGCTAATTTTCTCTGCGAACTTTTCTTCATCAGAGATGCGCAAAATATATAAAAACGACCAGGCCTAATGTGCAGCATTTAAGGGGCAAGATGATTCAGAAACATCGGGCCTGTTAAAATCAATGATTAAAACACGATGCTTCAGAATCCAATAAATGGATGAAACGTGGACATCTCGTACCGTACGTTCCGCTGTATTGTTATTTATAAATGATTCGTCGTTGAGAGCATCTAATCTAAAAAAGTTAAGTGATGCTCAATTTTCCTCGAGTGGTTGGAACGTGAGCACTAACTCTTGTCCTAGCTCATATGGTTTATGGCTATAGCGCCATTACTCGCTTTCTGAAAGGAGAATAATGGATTAAAAGGCCGTAGGTGAAAGGAAATGGAGGTAGGAACCCTAGTTCTATCTTCCCTTGAGAAAAAGCGGATCTCTAATCAATCTACAGGAAAAGTTCGGTAAAACTCACAATGGCCCTTATTTCGGGTGTCACTTCACGGTGAAAACGAAGTGAAGTGACCAGTTGTGGGTTCAATATTTTGTGATAAGGAACAAAAGTACCAATTTTTTTACGAAATTCTGAGGACCACTGTATCGTTTTGCTATGGAATTGCTGTATTTATAATTCAAACTCTGAAATCCATGAAATGATCAAAATTCCCGTTTCATGTTGATTACTTGCACTGGCTCATTATCCAAGTAATTTTGTCAATTCATTTTTGATCTGATCCAGGGCTGATCCACCACTAGGCAGACTTTTCAAGGCAACCTTTAACAGACGTTCTGTTTTCGTGTCGTAGTTAAAATCAAGACCAACAATTGAAATGGCCTCAACTCCATTTTGTAAACAAATATTGTAAGGCCATTTTCTCGCAAACCTAAGTCCGCCAACACAAACCAACAAAATGAACAGGTAGGGTAAATTCTCCTCTACCCGATTGTGTGTTAGGTTTGCGAATGTAGGTTTCGGTTCGTGAGAAAATGGCCTCATAACGTTTGTTTACAAAATGGAGTTGTGGCCTTTTCAATTG